GTAAGGCTTTCGCTATTGGTCTACAACAAAATGTCATCACAAAATCACGTTTGGATGTAGTACAAATTTGAGATTGTTACAATAATTTAATTATTTAATTGGTGCAAATTCTGAAGATCACATTTGAAAATATCACAATGATCGCCAATGGAGTTAAATCGGCCCATATGTAGATTTATTACTCCACTATGATCGTTCATCAAACCGCTAACTGTATGACCGATATCCCCTGTCTTTCCACTTGCACATCTATACAATATTTATACCCCGATACCATAGTTTTTTCTTATTGCCATATCTAGCTATCCTCTATTTCCTTGTTCATACTCTTATACACCTAGTTTATTTCCATATTCAAATATATACCATAATACACGAATTGTTATAACTAACTGGAATCTAGTCCCATTGCCCTTTTTCCAATTTTACTGCGGTGCCCAAACTAGAAGATATAAGATTGAATCCCTTGAGAATACGATGGAGTAACTGGTTATCAAACAGATTACAAACACTTGCACTTAATGCATTTACTTATTATCACGCCGACAAAGCTCTGAATGTTTCGGGGGAGTCTTGAATTGGATAAAGGAGCGAGGAGTAAGTTTTATAGGTGTTGATAGGAAAAAGGATTAATAATAGAATGGCGTTGTATTAATATCGGGGAGAATCTAGTTGTTATGTAATTATAAAAACCCTTCGAATTCGACTTGCTTGTACTTGGAGGTTCTACTTACAGACTGTACTTAGAGGTTCTATCTGAAGTAATTCCTCCTTTATAAATAAAGACCTTCAGGTGTTCTTAAATTATATCGTATCTCATGACTATATTATTCGCTATCACATTATTATACATTATCTTATTCTCGCATGCTTCTTTACTTATCTCGTGACGTCTGTATCTATTTAACATATACTTGTTAATTATTATTTACTCAACATCTGCATAACACTTATCTTATATTCGTTAACTATCCCGGGTTATCTTGGCACCCTTGTATCTGTTGCTCTCCCGACTTGATAGTTACACTGGTTTAACGAGGTCCGTTGTAATGAGGGTAGAGTGTATGTCTATGCCCACATCTGAATTTTTTGTATCTGCCTTATGCCCATGTCTACTGTTGTTAGACAAAACTATTTTTGGCTAATGGCAAAAGTCGAAACTAAACCCGGCGGAAGTCAAAACTGGCGAAACGGCGAAACTCTGGCAAAACCCTGGTAAAGCTAACACCCCTGGAGAAAGTCAAACACAGCGAAGATCAAATCCTCTAAGACTTCAGAAAGACCGAGCCATGTTGGTAAATTAAAATATTTGGCGTATAGCTATTAAGCACAGCATGTGGCTTATATAATATACAAAATCAATAAGCAAAGCGATAGCCTTTTGTTTGTATTCGAGTGCTATTAAAAAAAAACTTGATTTCAGGCTTTTGAACTTATAATAAATAAGTTCAGCCTTGAAAATTCAAAGCATAAAACCCTGTTTTCTTTTGTAGCGCTATCTATGTATTAATATTATTCATGTAAAATAAACTTATCTAAATATTTAAATCAATTTATTGTTATATTGTTTATACATATGTAAGTAATTTGTTAGCATTATTATTATTGACAATTATTTCCCGATGCTCATTTTATCTGGCTCTAAATCTTAGAGCTAACTTTAAGAAAATAATTGTTGTATTATTGATTTAAATAGTAAAATTTAGATTATTGATCCAAAAAAACATATAGCAGCATGATTATGCATATATATGTGTCAAAATAATTTTGTGTTAGGTACGTACTTTTCACAGGCAAAATTTCAAGTTAGAATTGTTTTTTTGTGTTACACGTTACTTCAAATCTTATTGGCAGAGAACCTATACAAATACAAAAATTTCCAAAAATTTATTATCAAAAAAATATCCTAGCAACAACTTATTTTGTTTGACGACGCTTCATTTTGAGGATGTGGCTTACATGCCTCTGAAAAATCTGATCAATTTTAGTATGATAAAATAATATATATTATTCTTCAGAGTTGAGAATTGAGGCATTTACCTGATGAAACTCAACTGTTATTATTTACTACTCAAAGTGAATGAATCGTACATCGAAAACAAATCTTTCGGCAGTTTCCGGAAATTATGGCTTTGTATTTTTTTTCCAGAGCCAATTGAATGAGAATAAATCGTCAAAAAGTTTAAATAGTTGGCCGTTACTTGTACTCAAGTCTTGTAAGAGACATCTGCTATAAATGATGAAGAGAAAAAATGACATTGAAAAAAAAGTTACTTCTTACCGTGTTATTTATAATTTTACAGTTATTTATTTTGGCATTGCCTGCACCCAGTCCTCAAAAAATCTACGTAAAAGATGGGGATCTTATTGATTGGACAGTTGCCAGGGATTATAGAAGCGTTGATGGATGTAATACTACACGGAGCATCATAGTTGTTTACAATACCTATGATAAAAATTGCATCTGCGGAAATTGTACAACACTTGAGCCTAAAGATTCGTCCTTTCCCGGACCAACCCTTATAATGACACCAGGGCAATATGTTAGAATTTTAGTAAGGAATAACCTTGACGAACCGGTCGCACTCCATTGGCATGGACTTCATATGAAAAACACCACTTATTCGGATGGAATCACGCCCATAACTCAATGTCCAATTCAATCTGGTTTAAATTTCCTATACGACTTTTATGCTAATGAAGAACCTGGTACTCATTGGTAGTAAGTATATAACCAAATAATTTTAATGACAAAAGTTGATTATAATAACAAAATTTTAATATAAAATACAGTCATTCTCATTATAAACCTCAACGTGTAGAGGGACTTTTTGGCTACATAATTATTAAGGAGAATAAGGAGAATGATGATTATTATGATGTCGATTTAATTGATGATAATTGCATATATTGTGTACTCTTATCAAACTTGTATCGTTGTTCGACAGGCGATGAATTGAACTATTATCGTTTCTGTTATGTTACAACCAGTTTAACTCCTGAAGTAAGACAGTTAAATATTCGCATTTTCAAACAATTAATCCATGAAAACATTACCTATTTTTTTCTTTTTTTAATAGCCTATTCCTAACACCGTACTTATCAATGGAATAGGTGGAAGAAATGAAGAAAATGGAGAAATATGTACTAACAAACCTGTGGATAATAGTGTTGAAATTAATTATATATATAATTTTGAAAGAGGAAAAAAATATCGACTTCGTATACTAAATGCAGGGTAGTAATAAAATTGCATCTCACACTAATAATTGCATCTCACACTAATAATTGCATCTCACACTAATAATTGCATCTCACACTAATAATAAAATTTGATTCATCATATGTTCATATTTTTCATTACTATATTTAGGTCATTAGTGCTATACTATTTTTCAATTGACCATCATATGTTACAAGTTATCGAGATCGAAGGAATGCGAGTCAATACAACTAATCAAATCAAACTCTTACCCATAAATGTCGCACAAAGATATTCTGTGATAGCCACAACTAATGATACGACAACAAACAATTTTTGGATGCGTTTCCAAATTAGCGTAGATTGTATTCGACGTAATACACCTGTCGACCAAATGAAGTCGCTAATCAGAGAGATTAAAGCAATTGTTCGTTATGATAAATCTGAAGGAAGACCCAATACTACACCATGGATTCAAGAAATTGAAAAATTACCCTGTATAGATATTGATTATACTTTGTTGTTACCAGCAGATGTGTCATCAAAAGCTCCAGAACTAGAAATAGATTCCAAAAAAAATAAATCAAAAACCTGCCAAGAATCAACAGAATGCCAAGAATACACTTTTGATGTTTCTATGACCACAATTAACTCTACGAAGAATCTAAATGAAAATTATGCTACATTCGGCGAAGTATCTTTAAAATTGCGTCAAGGTTATTCAGTTGGGATATTTTACGGAACTATCTTCGGTTACACTGAAAATACACTTCATTATACAATGGAAAATCTAGAACTATTTGATATATACGGTTCTTATGGTCAATCCATTTATCCTGACCCTTCACTGAACGTTGTAGTTTTAGATAAAACACCAGACATTATTGAAGTGATAATAATAAGTTAGTATTTTAAGGTTTGGGTCAAAATCAGGATAAGCGAAATCCCGACAGGTCATAATCTGACAAAAAATCCCGACAACAAAAATCCTGACAGCCGAAAACCGACAGTTAAAAATTCCGACAATTAAAATTCTGATGAACAATATCATAAACCCAGCCTAACCCTTATCTAAAGTGACCTAACCCGAAAGATAATTAAATTATAAGAAGCTACTTCGTTTTAAACGTACCCCATATTTGGGATTTACTGCTTGAAAATTCTGACTGGCGGGATTTTTAATTGCGGGATTTTGACTGTTGACTGTCGGGATTGTGCTTGTCGGGATTTTGACCGGCATCCGTAGTTTAAGGCAGATATTATAATAAAATTAGATTATATAACCGATTTTATTATTTCTTTTTTTCTTTAGATTCAGACACTATCGCTCATCCTTTCCATTTGGTAGGATCTTTTAAAGCTAGACATTATTATCGGTTATATATTTTATTAACCTTTTTAATGCATCTTTAGCATGGACATTCCTTTTGGGTTATGGAATATGGATATAATTGCTCTGGATATAATAATTGCCAAGGTTCTGGAGATATTGTAACATTAACATTCGACCACCCGGTTGCGCGTGACTCCATTACCGTTCCCCGTGATGGAGGGTAAGTTTTCATTTAAGTTTACGAAAGGTTAACGTTACATATTCTAATTTTATTTGATATCTGAACTAATAGTCAAGTGAGAGTTCGTTTTCAATTGGATAATATTGGAGTTTGGGCTCTTCATTGTCATGTTGAGGTAAAAGTTTTATAAAGTTTACAATATATTGAATGATGTAATATAATAACTTTTTTTTTAAAAAAAAGTGGCATGTCAATGCTGGAATGTTGACTCAATTCGTTGAACATCCACGTAAATTTTCCTCATTGCGAAAAGCACCAAATGAAACCGAATTGATAGACAGAGCATGCAATATTGTAGAACTAACAACGTGGTATCAATTGTGTAACAATACATATGCAGTACCATATATAAATTGGACCGAAAGATGTCAAACAATATGCCACTAATGCATAAAAATATAGTCTATTACGAAATTCACGAAATTCACTAAGTTGAGTTTCTATAATTATATTTGGGGGATGTCTAAAGCGGAGATAAATTGTATAATTAGTATTTATTGAATTAGCTTTAGGGTCATCTTAGGTTAGGTTTAGGTTAGGTTTTAGTAGTTACATACATGTAAAAGTGCCTTCCTGACATTTTTGCTTAACCACCCAAGGCAGGTTTTAACTGCCGTTTTTTGTATTTTTTAGGTTTTTTATTTTTCCTGTACAGTATTCGATCATCAGAATTCTATAATTTGATTGGCTAATAGTCACATGATTTTCATAATAACAGATCACTATTTAGTGTAACGTAACACGATCAAAACAAACGCGCTTTTGTTATTTCTCAAATGTATAAGAAACCGATTCTGGACTTACCCAAACCCTAAACGAACTTAAAGAATATTTTCGTTGGTCACGTGGAGGTGAATTTTGATGGCTATACTGGGGAAGATACGGACCTCTATATTTGGGAGGTTTATAGAATCGACCTAAGCCACCCCAGTGTCGGTCTGATCTTTCACTCTTTCACAAGGTACATTGTTCCGATAAAATGGCGTAACTAGCTTTAGTACCAGCGCTATTACGAAAATACGTAATAATTATCATTTTTACTTTATTATACTTTTGCACATAATTACTACATTTTTTATGCATACTTAGTATCTATTACGTACTGTATTACACTTTCGCATTGTTAAAATTATTACCCCATTTTTGCGTAATGATTTTCTTAGCTTAATTGAGTCTAATGGAATAACTATAAATAGGGTTATTCATTGTAAATAGAGACAGATTTTCTTTTGCTCAATCGAAATAAATAAAAATATCTTTTGCTTTATTGTTACTGTTCGCTATTAATAATATTTAATGCTTACGACCAGCAATTAAATTGGCATTACGATTGGAAAGTCTCTCCCTTGTCGTAACAACATATCGCTTTGCTTGAATGTGTGCCAGGTTTATGGCGCAGCAAAAATTCTTCAAAGTTAGTTTATGTTTGGGTTAGGGTTCGGGTTAAGGTTAGGAAGAGGTGTTTATATAGTAAAATTTCTAGCGAACCTTTTGTTAAAGCACTAATGGTGTTTTTTTGACAAAATGGACGTTTTTTGTTTGAATCTTCTTGATCGTGTTACGTTACACCTAATCTTGAAATCTATTTCATCTGCGCCACAAACCTGGCACACATTCAAGGTGCCAACACACTGTATCGCCATCAAAAATGTCACTTTCACGTGACGATCTACATCGATTAGCCAATAATTACGTAATCACAATTTGATGTAAAGTAACACGATCGCGAAGATCCAAAACAAACGTCAATTTCGACAAAAATCGTTTATTTCTCAAAAATTCACATAAGAGACCGCCTTTCGTGCACTTAGTTTAAACGCTAACCCTAACATAAACGAACTTAAAAAGTTTTTTTCGATGGTCACGTGAAAGTGACATTTTTATGGCGATACTGGGGAAGATCCAAAATACTGTCACTATTGTTTTGTGAGAGCGTATAGAACTTTCGGCAGAGGTTAGCTCCAATAGTTAACTTATATGTTCTTTGTATAGAACTCAAGGTATT